TTAATATGAAGCATGGGGAATTTTAATTAAAATATGTTTAATTTCTTAATCTATATAGTGTTTTGATAGAAAAGTTTCATTCATGATCTATCGTAAGAATAATAACTCACATTAGTAACATCGATTTTATTATTTTTCAACTATTCATAGAAAACAAAAACTTGTTAAACATAAATTTTGTATTTTAAAATAAGACAACTTCAATTTGGAGTCATAACATCTTTAAAATTATTAAATAAAAGAAAATCTTATAATTTGATCTTAAATTGAACAAGTTTGTTCAAAAAATTTAAGAAATCTTAAAATTTTGGAATTCTATACCAAATTTAAGCATTTTTTAAATTTGTCTTAAATTTAAGGATTTCATGAATTTATTCCAATTTTGAAAATTTAAAAAAATTTTCAATTTAAGAAATTTTGAATCTTGAGACTATGATCTTTGGGTTTTTTTAATTTGTTTATTGTAAAACTAGAGAGCTTGTTCTTTAGATCTTTCATTGTAGATCTCTTTTAAATCTTGTTTTTCATATCTTCGTTATTAAACTTAGAAGTTCTAGACCTTAGTTCCTTGTATCTTCTTTTTTCCTTAATTACCGTTTTGGATTTGTAAGTTTTATTAGAATTTTAGATTCTACAGACTTTGTTCTTTGGATCTTCTTTCTAATCTTCTTTTTCATCTGATATGAGCCAAATTGTTCAACAAAACGTAATAGTACCTGAGAAGGAAAATGGAGAATGAAGAAGTAGAAAATAGATGAAGAAGATAGAATCAAAGAAAGAACAAGGTCTGCACTTCCACTAAGAAGAACAGGGAGTACTTTTAAAAGAGCATCAAGATTTTGTTGGGAGAAGTTTCTCGTAGACTTAGCAACATTAGTGGTAAATGACAGCATAATTTTCGAAGCCAAGATTGGTTGGTAAATGACAGCCTATGGAACACTAGTTGGCTCTTTAATTAGTAATTCAGCATCATCTAACTAAGCATTAGCAACATTAGTGGCTTCAGCACAAGTAAATCTTAGGTTGTTAGTCTTACTATCCACAAAAACAATGACCACTGCAGGCTTTCTAAACATGTTGCACTCATAAAAAAGCAGCTTTTTTAAATAAAAATACCTTCTTTTGTGGAAGATCCAGTTTAGAAGGAAAAGTACGAGCATGATGAATATCTTTTAAGCTTTTTTCTAACTCTGCATAATTCAAACATATTGTCTTCTCATCTCTCTCTAGAAGACCAGACTTTATTACAAGCTCAAACAACTCCCTTGCTCGTTTTACTTTTAGTTTCCTGTATCTCTTTACAAACTTTGGCAGATAAGTTACCCATATACCCTTCACATGCTGATACTTGAATAGACACCTCTTTCATACACTTTGAAAGCATTTTCAAAATATTTGTTCTTTTCTAATAAAAATGCATAATTTATAATAGTTTGTGGCATGGAAGTTCTTAAATCCAGTATTCTCTCTAGACTACTCCAATTGACTCCGAAGTACCCAGACTTTCTTCCAAGTCTACATAGAATGTCCAGAGCCTCGAGGATTTATGGAGTTTCATCTTAACATGTCCATTCCCGTCAACAGTCACTCTTTGTTTGACCTCTACAGAGGCTCAATTGTGTCACATCTAATCAACTCCAGTGCACCATTGAAATTCTTGTGCCTCAGTTCCATCTCTGCCCACTCAGCGTATACCCTTGTCAATTGATCAACAGTCTTGCAATTTACTTGGACAACTAGATCAAAAATGACACAAGCATTTGCCAGATCTTTATAGGTCTCATATAGCTTCACAAAAGCCACCCACAAAGTATGGGGTTTTCCAATAGCTTTTATTAGGTCAATCATCCTAACTGCCTCTGTGTAGGTCGTTATTTGCTTGGAGAAGTTCCCTTCAAATAACTTGACCCTATGGTGCCATTGCTCCATTTCTTTTTCCTCATTGTTCAAATCATGTTTTCCATCTTGAGAGCCGCCATACCCTCTTCAAAAAAATCCCAAGCCTTATCAAACATATTTCTTTTGATGTAATAATCAACAAAGGAAGTCCAAGGTCTCCTAGCTTCATTGGTAAACTTTTTAATTTCACCTCTGATTATCACATCCACGTTGAGCCTGCAACACCTGTGGCATGCGTTTTGTTTTACCCTATATAGGATAAAATTGATCATTATTCAAAACAGATGCTAATCTCTCTATTGCTTCTTGCCACAGATGTGGATTCACTAAAAACTCAAATTCTTGCCACAATCCAACAAATACTTTTCGATGTAGATAGTAATACACTTACTCCGCTTCTCCATTACTAAAAGTCTAAACCCATAATCTGTTGAGAAGGGTTCTTCAAGGGTGGCTTGGATATTCAGCTCCTGAATCATTGAGAGTTGTTTTGTTGTGAGTCATGCTCTGTTGATGAGTACAGCTCAACCGGATCATCTACTGGTGAGTCAAGCTCTAACGGATCAATGGTCTCCACCACCTTCGGTGAACCATCTAACCAAGACATTATCTGCTCAAACATTTTTTTCATCTTGAACCAAAATTTATCAAACCTAGCATCCATCTCCTGTCTTAGTTCTTTTTTCAGCTGAGCAGTAATGTTATCCAATTTCTCCCCCAATTTTTCAACCTTCTTTTGCAACAAAATGACATCCATCTCCATTGGATCATCTGATCGTCAGTCACGCCAGAATCATCAACCACGCCAAAATCTTAGGCTCTACAACCAAATTATATGAGCCAAATTATACAACAGAAAGCGATAGTAACTGAGAAAGAAAATAGAGAATGAAAAAGTAGAAAATAAAGGAAGAAGATAAAATTAAAAAAAGAATTTAGAAAAAGAAAATTCTTTTTGATCTTGCTTAACAGTTCCTGTCAAAATAACCCCAGCTCCTCTTTAAGCTAAACCAACTCTCATGGCAACTACATTCCGAGATTCTCGAACTTACAGCACTCTCAGCCTTTCACACTCTTTCCCCATTTTCCTCACAGTGACTAACAAACTGGAAATAGAACAAGAGTATAAAAGCCATAAACACTGGCCATACATGGAACAGCTTAATACAAATAAAATTAGGCCCATACTTAATTTCAAACTCAATTAAACCTGTTCCACAACATTAAGCTTGTAACATCATCCAATTGCCTCGTTGAATTTGTTCGCTAAATTGTCTTTAAGTCTTCTTTCTTCAAATTGTGTGTCAAACAGTTTGGAAAAACTTTCTTTATAGTATCAGAAGATGCTAGGACAACTCTAATTCTTATTTTTAGGCAAAAAAATCCCAGTCAAGCATGTGAAAACATAATCAAACCAAAAAAAATATCCATATAGGAACGTGATTCGATCCAATCTAAAATGATGTTCACGGATGAGATAAAATTTAGGGATTCGGCTCCTTCTCATTCATATTTGGTTGGTTCTTTTATGGAATATATTTTTTTTCTATCATATCTTCTTGCAATAAAGTTTAAACCCCGGAGAGTAGGCTTTTATCTCATCTCATAAATTTTATCTTCTTTTCCAAAATTCAAACTTTGAGACTTCTAAATTGAAGTTCAAACTTCTAACGGTTTTAATGTGAAAAAATAATCTAAAATAATTTAAACTCAAAAAAAATTTTTTAATTTAAATTCAACTTGAATTCAAAATGCGTATTGAAATTGTTACATTTTTTATTAAATCAAAATAATAACCCAAATTCCAAAACCTTGCTCAAATCCAAAATGATTAAAATGTAAAAAAAAATTTTGAACTCGAAAAACTTGCTAAAATGATTACGTCTTCTATAAAATAAAAAAGAAATTCAAACTTGACCCTAACCTAAAAAAATTTAAATCTAAAAAACTTCAAACCTAAAATGACTCAAATTTAAAAATTCCATACATAAAGCATTCAAAACTTGAATCTATTCAAACCTGCTCATTTGCCACCTTTTATGGCCTTAATAGAGTAAAAATCAAATAACAAAAGTATTAATCAAATTAAATCAACACAATTAAACCATTTATACAAAGGAAAGAAAAATAAAAGTTTCTTATAAATAAGTAGATAAAAGTTATGGGGGGTTCTTTTTTTTTTTTTTTGTCTTTTTGGCCACAGTTATGGGGCGATTTAGATAATAGAAACGTTCATATATATATAAATATATATATATTTATTTATATATAAACAGAATCATATTAGCAGAGAAAAAAGAGATTTGAAAATGGGGAAGTTGGTGATGGAAGTAAAGAAGGGTAAAGCAGCTAGCTAGGATGGATCTGCATTTTCAAGCTTCCTAGTTGTTAATGATTGGGAAATTTGAGATATACCAAAGATTTTGTACATCTTAAAACCTAAAACAACACACACGCACATACTACTCTCAATTACAAACTCTCTAGGAATGAAAAATAATTCCAAAAATTTATCAATTCTAATTGAGAATTGATAAATTGTTAACTACCCGTTTAATCCTATATTTAAGAATTTGAAAGCATTTATCCGTTCCTGTTCTTTTTCTTTTCTTTTTTTTTTTTTGGAGGCTATTAGGTTTTGCTCTTTTTCTTTTCACTGTTTATTTTTTACTTTTTTTATAGATATTTGTTATAAAACATAAGTGGATGGCTAAAAGGCTAAAATGCATGTCTATTTAGTTTAACATAATTATTCTAACTTTGTACAGATTGGAACGAAACCCAATCCCTTGCTGCTTGGATTATTTATCTAGATATTATAATTTTAAATATGATATAATATAAAATTGAAACGAAAAAATTTCAAAAATAATACAACTTAAATTTTAATAGAAATCATATTAATTTGATAAAAATCAAAAAATATATTTTGTATTTAATATGTTAATGAAAATTGTGTCAATAATTTTCCTCTTTTACTAGTATTTAACCATTTGTGAACTCCTTTGTGAGAATAATTTGCGACCTCCTTGATAGAAAATACAAATACAAATAAAAGACCATTTGAGCAAAAAGAAAAACATTGAAAGCTTTTTCTACAATGGTAACAAAAATATTACTAAGTATTTACAATAGTAACATTCACATTTTCAACCGGAAACAGGAGGATATAAAGCAAAAGCCAAGATTTAATTTTGAATCTACGAAGTTCTATGAGGATACAGTCCTCAAAAGAAGTTTAAAAGAGGATTTCAATTGTGAGCCAAGACACTCACAAATGTTGGTACCCATACCACTCTTCCATTAAGACTATTCATCGTAGCATTAAGATTGGAGTTCAGTTTCAACTAATCCCCATGCTATGAATGCAATAAATTTTATCTGATTCTCCAATTAGCTGCTCTACTATCTTCCTTATAATTCAATACAACTTACAAAGCCGATAGCACAGCGACAGAAGCTTAAACCTAGTTTACTGATCTTAGGAAGAAGCTGAGACAGCCGCTGGTTACCTCATTCCTTGCGCAACCTAGCTAAGAGCCCCAGAATCTTCTTTCTACTTTATCATTGTGTACAAAGATGATAGCAGCATTCCGTTAAATTCCTTTGCTTACAGAAAAGTGGAAAACTTTCCTCCTTGGGCCCTTATAAGCTCAAAGAATTGTCTGAAGCACTGTGCTATAGATGAATCTGATCTTGCAGTGAAGTGCCCTTGTTTAGGATTTTGGTGGACCTGTAAGCAGCCAAATAAGAGTATCAAATTTGGATAATATCCATACAAAGCTTGAACCTCTACCAAAAAAAAAAAAAAAGAAGCTTAACCCCAAAAAAAGTTTCAATGAAATAAAAACAAATTACATTTCAATTACAAGGATAAGATATGCTTTTCACTTATCAGAACTTTTATCATTTTCATCTTTCGAACATGCAAGTGCAGTCGAAAGGATGTATTAACACAACATTACCTGAAATAGTAGAAAAGAAGCAGAACATAGATGCCTCACATACTAACAGCTAAGAAGTCCATCATGAATCGAAGAGATGGGTTGTATCTAGAAACTAGGCATATTTTTCTTCCGGGAGTAATAATAGTATACAGACCCATAAGTTGAGATAGGGATTTCCATTGCCCAATGTAGTGCATGTGCAAGTGTGCACAAGCGAGAAATGTTAAATTAATTTAACATGGTTTCTGACCTTAGTTAAGAGTTATCCAGTCAAAGAAATACCCTTAGTAACAGATTTCCAAGAAAACCTATTGTAAGCTGATATTGAACACATATAGAACTACTACCAGCTAAAGCAAAAATAAGGTCAACACTAGATAAGAATTCCTTCGTTAAGGAGCATGTTAAGCGTCTAAATGTATAGGACTTGTGTAAAGCAATGCAGCAGAGGTTTACCTTTTCGTTTCTTAGGTGGATTGAAGCCATCACTTACAAGTGAAGATGGGGAAAGTGGCCTTTTTTGGTGTAAATTTTTTGTTGATTGTTCAGACTTCTTTGAGGGAATTAGAGCTGAGAAAAGAATAGCATCAACAGCTTCACGTTGCTGCTTCCTTTTCACATTTAAATTCTGAGAAGAGCCAACATCCTTAGGATCTCTGTAACCTTCATTTGCTACTCTATCTTTCTTGTTGCTGTCAGGTCTGGGAGTTGAAAGATGCAAACTTCTTTGTTCCTGCCCAGAAGATTTCTTTGATTCTTTTGAAAAATTAAATTTCTTATTTTTCCTGCTGTGACCGACTTCTTGTCCGGTATTTTCATTACTTCTTTCTTTCATCTGGTTTTTCCTTGAATTGACTTGCACTTCACTAGTCTCTTTCTCTTGGCTTCCCCTACAGGTAGCCAGTTTCTCTGGAATCCTAGACTTCTCATACTGCAATTGTCTTTTGTTATCATTTGCAGATGCAGATGCAGATGAAATACTCCTTTCAATGGGAGGATAACAATCATCCTTTGCTTTTCTTTGGCTACAGGGGATATCTTTCCTTTTCAAAGAGTTATCATCATCTCCAGCAACAGTCCTGTTACAGCCAGCCACACTGTCAATATGCTTTCTGTTCCTTTCAAACTTCTGCTTTTCCCCATACTCATTTTTTGCAAGTTGGCCAGCACCTCCAACCTTTTTGACATGCCTAACCTGACTCAGATGATTATCAGAATCTTCTGGAACAAGATTTTTTCTAGCACTTGTTCTAAAATTGATATGGTAAGGCCTTTTAATTGATAGCACCAAATTTCTCTGCTTAGCGTCCTTCACAAGAGCAGCCCAATTATGGTTTGTCTGCAAAGTTCTAGCATTCCCCAAAATCCAGAGAGAGAGCCTGGCTCTTGTCAAGGCCACATTCATCCGTCTTACATCAGCAACAAACCCAATACTGCTTGAACTTATGCCCGTCGAAGAACTTGCTGCTCTAACTGTGGAAAGCACTAATATATCAACCTCCCGGCCTTGAAAACCATCCACAGTGTTGAACTCTATATCAGCCATAACAGAAGAACCAAATGCACTAGAAAAGCAAGAACGCAAAAGAGAAAGCTGACGCTTGTATGGAGTTATTATGCCAATTCTGCCGCCAACAAACTCAGATGGATACCTATACCCCAAATAAAATAAAATTCAAAAAGATGAATGATTCTAATGTAATAAAATCACAAGAAGGAAAGGAGGAAAATTACTTTTTCTTGAAAAATCTAAGCAGCTCAACTGCCGCATCAGCCTCATGTTCATTGTAAAGAGATAACACACCAGAATTCTTGCCACGAAGCTCCAGACCATCAACAACATCATAAAACACATAAGGACCAAGGCCTTCAGTCCCATGAAATGCTGCTGATTTGCTCAACATTGTATTACCATTCAGCAACTTATTGTCATAAAAATGTGAAGAAGGAAAGCGACATATCTCTGGATGCATCCTATACTGTAAACAGAAAGCTCTTAACCTTATATTTTAATGAACAAGTGCTGCGAACATTTTATGGAGCAGACACGATGCCCCTCATGCAACAAATATTAGCATATACATCAAAATAGTCCAGCAACAAGTATGTTGCAAAACATTTCTCCCTATCACACATGCCCATAGTCTCTTCACCTTCCTCAATAAATAACTACCATTGAAATAATGAATTTGGATTTACCTATGTCCTTAAACAAAGATCATAATATGCAACAAATACGTCTACATCAACTAAGGTATGGTATTTAGCACAAAGCCAAAGCCTTACAAAAGAGTGAACAGCAAAACAACCTGGTATAACCAAAAGGAGAGAGAGAGAGAGAGAGAGAGAGAGAGAGAGAGAAGTAAAAGAAGGATTTCCTCTGGTGAATACAGTTGGATTAACCAGCTTGCAAAACCTGGTAAATTTTCTTTAAAGGGCTTAAGTTATAGCTGAAAAGAAATTAGCGACAAACCCGGTACAACCTTCATGAAAGATGGATTATCATCCAACAGTATTAATAAAAGCTAGGTAACTGCAGAGTACTACACTATTCTAGAATGTAAACATCTAAATATGCCAGGTCTTTGACACTTAACCAAAGACAGAAAAGATATGTTAGACTACCAAACTGGAAAAAGGGTATACTCATTTGTATCAAATAAGATCAAGAATAACAAAGGCTTTTATCACCTCACACTGATTTCATGCTTTAGATCATAATATTCAGCTACAGAAATCACTAGATGTGTTTCAAGTAGAAACTATTAAAAAAAGTGGATGAAAATTGAAAACATAGAATTAGTAGCTCATGAGAAACTCGTCAAAGAACACATTCAACCAAGCAAGCTAAAGGGGAGAGAATTTAAGATGCAGTAATCATTTTTTAAATAACTAAGTTTACTTGCAAGAGAAAAAAAAATTGAGATTTGTTTAGGTTGGATTTTCACTAATTTCAATTTCGGCAGAGAGCTTAGCAGTTATTATGGCTCAGCCAATACAGAGATAATAGTCAAAGAGGTTTGGTCATTTTAATGGCACACAGTGGACTTGCAAAAACACAAATAAGAACCCACAAGAAAACTATTTGGACAATTCTAGCACATGATCAACCACATAATCACATTTCCAGAAGTATAGATTATCTAAAAAAACCTCTACAGGTTTTTATTAGAAGTTAAACACTATGTTCAACAGAAGGCAGTCATCAAGAGTAATTAAGTTGTTATACTAACAGTACAAGCAATAGTAACAAACCCCGTGAGTTCCATTAAGATGTACATACAAAACCAAACGTCAAAGAAACATCAAATATTCACAGAATAATTACATTGAAGAATGCAAGTGAAAATGTTAACATAAATATCATTGCACGGTACATAATAAATAAAAGAACACCATAAAATATGCAATTGACAATCTGATCAAATGAAATACTTAATCCTTTAGCATGGCCTAAACAATTATCAAAAAACTGAGAATAATGAACACCTTTTAAATCAGTTATGACAAAAATAAGCACTGTCAAGCTAACAACACCCATATGCACAAGGCATATCCCATATATGATCTTTGAGAATAATGTTAAGAATATTTAAACAAACTTTCCAAATCATAAAGCAACAGCAAACCCATATTCTTTCACATCCTCAATCTCTTAGCTTAATATCCTTTAACATGTGATAATATCCCTTAACATGGGATAATCTCATTTCCCTAGTAGATACTTTTAGTCTTAACCTTAATAATCTTTAACACATGATCACATTCATTCCAATTGTAGATCTTTTTCTTTTTTTAACATACAGAGTAGCCATTTGTAGAAATGGCACGTCATACAACAGGGCATAGAATTTCCAGAGCAGAAAAAAATGTTGGGAATATCAAAATAAACCTCCCAAATCATATAGCAACAGCTATGAGCCAACCAACATGCTTTTGCATCCTTAAACTCTTAATTTTAATAACCCGTAACAGGTAATCTCATTCATGATAGATCTTTTGTTTCATATCCAGAAGGCGGCCACCGTAGAAATGGCACACTATACAACACAGTAAAAAGATTACCACAAAAGAAAGGACTTTAAGTTTAGACACTATGGAAAGGAATAAGCAATTACAATGTAGGTTACCTGTTCAGTAAGCATAACAACAGCATGACCAGCTCTTTGTAAACGCTCAAACATGCTACATTCATACATAAATTTGCTTGCAATATTAGAGAGAACTGTTGCAGGAAGCTGCTTTGGATCACCAACCTTGAGAAAATATTTTTAACTTCAGTATGGATTCTCAGGGTACCAAAATACAATTCCAAAAATCTATTAAGTATATAGTCTTTTGTCCTTTAGCTCATACCATGATACATTTTGTCCCTCTTGACTTTAAAAGCTGAAGAGGAATCAAAGTAGCTGGTTCCAAAGCCTGCAGTGACAAATTTAAACCTTAAAAAGCAAAGAGAAAGCAACAATAGAACTAATAAGATGAAAACATCAACAGAACAAAAAATAAGAACAATTACTTGAGCCGCTTCATCGATCACAACAGCATCAAAAAGAGTATGTTCAGATGGATTGCCAAACTTAAAACTTGATATGGTTTCAGCACATACTCCATAGAGATCTCCACCACAACCACTTAATGTTGTGACAACTATTTCAGCCTCCTTTAGAATAGACTTCCGCAGTTTATGCCTTAATGCTTTGGTTTCTTCATTAGTCTTCTTCTCTTGTGCCTGAGCAGCACTAAGATCTTTATAAATTTGTTTCTTTTGCTCATACAATCGTTGTAGCTTTGCCTCTACTTCCAAATCAGACATTTCTTTTACATCCGTTTCCTTATCAGATCCATCTTCTGAAGTTTTCTTCAGGCCCGAATTTCCATCCCTTATGTTGGCACGCTTGGTTTCATAGAATCTGATGTCTTCAACTAGCTTTTCCAGATTAGAACGCAGTACTGTAGAAGAAGATTCTACACTTGAATCATTCCTAGCATCATTTGTATGCATTTTCTCTTCTGCCAACCGATGATCAACAAGTGTATCAATGAAGAAAGGTAGAGAATTTTGATGCATGGTTTTTACATTTCCAACCCGTACAAGATAAGGTTTGTACTTCTTTCCATCTATCCCATATAGACCATTAGATATTCTTGACACCAACTCATCAACTGCAGCATTTGACTGAGCACAAATTAACACTCTTCCTCTTGTAGAACTTTCTGTTGATTTTTTTGACCTTTCAACATCCTCAGTTAGTTGTCTAGCCAAGGCAGCATCCTGCCATGCTCTTGCAATGGCTGTGGCCTGGCTGACTCGTGTCCTTGAATTGGTGGAAGAACTATAGCTTTGTTTCAAATCACCATTCTGTGAATTCTCTGATTCATTTGTTCTCCGTTGAAGGGAAGCAAGGAAAACACCAACCATGGCCACAATAGTTCGGGTCTTTCCAGTCCCTATTGAATCAAGCAAGAAGCTGTCAATACAGCATATATATGATTCTGGTTGAAACATTATGTAAAATTACGATATACTCAAAGTTGAAAGTAGAAGCAAAAAAACACTCCCTCTGTCCCATTTTGTTTGTCAATTGGTCAAACAGACTCAACTTTGACCACTTTTTCAAAATTTTATATTGAATTAAAATTTAAAGACATATCTTTTAAAAATTTTGAAACTCATCCTTAATCTTAATTTTAAAATTTTCATTTTATGATTTTATTAAAAAAAAAAAAAAGATCAAACTTGAGTTCATTTGACCCAAAAAGACAATAACAGGCAAACATAATGGTATAGAGGGAGTGCTAAATACCTACCTGGAGGACCCTGAATAAGATGCAATTCAAAATCTTTCTTTATCTTCTGTGATCCAACAGCAACATTCAGAGCTTGAAGCTGGCTATCATTGAAGGATGACCTCAGTAATTGCTGCAAGGGCTGGGACAGCTTACTGAAATCTAGTCTTGGTTTATCAGAGATGGTAGAATCATTGACAGGGTTTAAAATGATAGGAAGCAGAGGGATATCCTTTACTGCTGATAGTGCCTGAAATTCTCGAAGCTGGGGTGTAATGCTCATGATGCGACTGGCATGCCATTTACTACGTTCAAGAAGCTGCCTCCTAGCTTGATTCAAACGTATTGAACCATTCTGAAGATAAAACCGAATCAGCAGTATACTTGACCTTCTTTTATTGTCTCTCTCACGCCTCTCCACCTGTGAACAAGTATGTTGCTTTGATGAAATATGGGCACATAATTGTACAAACCTATGACAGGGTGGCATTAGTTCATTCAGGATAATGGAAAATCCAATCTTTGTCAACTTAACCCGAACTAAAAGTAATGAAGTAAATTAAAAGGTCGCTTGAAGTTTAAGCAACCCAGAAATAAAATTCAGCTCAATGAGGAAGATTAAAATGCCGATCAAAAGTCAGGAATAAGTCCATGTAAAATCGGGAGTATCAACCATCAAATATATGCAGGTAAGTTTGATGATCTTGGATTGTACAGAACACCTAAGAACAGGTTTAGACAACCAGAAACTCTCAACCAACTGGTTCCACCAGATTTTTTGATAAAAACAAGCAGCAAAGCTAGCATATTGCCATAGTAGTCAAGTGACACAAGGACCAAATTTTAGATTTTTTCAATACCAAAAGAAATAAAATATTAGTTAAGGTTGAGAGAAGTGATGAACATTTAGTTGATCGTTTTGAGTGAAAATCACTATATGAAAATATATTTTTCCTTTTGGCAATAATGAAAGTAACTTTGGCATTAACTTGAACTCCAATAGATTGATCAACAATTTCGAATTTACACCCTCAAAACTATTGTTGCACTCATAAGTGTCATTTCAACTAATTTACAAATCAATATATCATTATTTTATCCAGGCTTGGATGACATCAAACTATTTAACAGACATAATTGAATTTAGAAGTCAATTAACATGTGAATATTAGATATGCAGCATCAATATTGCTATTGTGATTTTAGGTTTACACTTTAAATCATCAGCTAACTGTTGCAACCTATTTGCAGCCATATATTTTAAATATATCATGCAATCGTAACAAATGTAACTCTTTTAGAATCAAATATTTAAATTAACGTCACATATTTTAAGCACACACTAACAGCAAATATTACTTCCAGTCAGTAACTAAAAACAATAAATGAAACAGTAAAGGACACAAAGTAGTATGAGTTGGATGTTTAAGGTCAATGGGTAGTCTGAAATTTTGTGACATACAGAAATGATAAGGTCAAAAAATATGAAGGTGAGATATAACAACATAAAACAAACGAGAAATTCGCCTAAAAAAGAGGGCTGCACAGGTCTTGCAGAAAAAAAAATGAAAAAAAAAAATAAAACTAAGAGAAAACTTGTGAGAAAGAACAATGCAATAAAACAGTAAGATACAACTTCAGTATATAGTATATTATGATAACATACCTTTCCAACCATATGAACATCATGGGAGGTACTTTTTAGAGGCTCTTTAGTAAGCAAAATAAGATCATTCTCTGAAAGTTTTAGATGCTGTAGAATCATCACCATCATAGACAAATCGAGCAAAATGGAATCATCAACCTCTCAACCGACAGCCAGATATACGCCATAATACCATCTCCTCCATGAGGACATCTCCAGAAAGGAATTATGCAAATTGTGCTTTAACTCCTCAAAATCAATGGCCGAAAATGTTTACATTACTGTTCAGCGTGACTGAAATGACACAGGGACCTCCTTTAATTTGTTAACAGTGCGACTCTCATCATCACTTGCAGATGCTAATCCCACTGTTACAAAGAAATCTACTTCTAATATTGGCCTATACCAGTCATCAAGTCTTGGAGGCTTGAACCTTTTAACCTGAGCTTCCAGCCTGTGTAGGCTAGATCTGTTTCCAAAGGGTGATTTAAGTTGAATGACTTGCCTTTTAGGAACAAAAGGACCTGCTTTTGCAAGAAATGATGACTGTACTCTTGCAGTTCTGAAAGCAGACTCCAATGGATCTTCTGCAGCATCATGTACCAACTCCTTCAAAATAGTATCATTTGTTCCAGAAATTATTTTGTTGCAACCTTGATTAATACTGTTAAGTTTGACAGATTCATCATTTTGTTCTTCTGATCAACTCTACACTCAGATGAAATGACATTACTTTGGAGTTGGAGCTTATTTCTATCCTCTCACTATCAAGGTCTTTTGATTTGACAAGACGTGCTTGACTCTTGATTTCTCAGGTTCTTGCTTCTGGGAAACAAGGGAATCTCTTTTAAGGGGAGACTCGAATAAATTCTTTGAAGTATCAGCGGCAGTGCTATGGACATCCTTCTCGGCATGGTCAGCTTCTGAAGCATGCTCATCGTTCGAAGGAAACCCTGCCTTCCCATCCAACATTTTGTGACTTGACTTATCAGATGCAATATCTTTCTCCTCCTCATCGTCAGAAAGAACAATCAGATTATTTTCATTCTTTCTTTTTTCCACTTTTAAGGAATCCAAGGCTTTTACATTTGTTTCAATAGAAGAAGGCTGCACGTCAGGTGTAGAGTACCTAAACAATTTTTTTGACCTCAAGGTTGAATGTCCAAGACCGCAAGAAACTTCTTTAGATAATGTAACACAAAGTCGTGATACTTGTTCCGTCAATTCATCCATGTCAACAGCATCTATATTCAAAAAGCACACAACACATGAATACACCTAGCAATAGACAAATAATGATCACATGAATGATAAAAAAAAAAAAAAAGAAAAGAAGAAAAAGGAGAATTGAAATTAGGTTAATCAAGGTTGCATCCAGGAACTTACATTTAAAAGTAATGATTTGTATTTGATATGTAGTATAAATTGTGTATTCATAGTTAATGCAATAATGAGTTTTAAAGTTACATTCAAATTCATAGAATTGCTAAATCTTGAATGAGTAGTGAATTTAAAAGAACTAACAAAAAAGTGGATTTCAGAAATGCATTCTTCTATAATTTTTCAAGTATATAGGTATAATGAATCTTTACTAATTTTTACATAATGACTATATACATCCTAAAAACTTGTATAAACACCAGATCCAAATATATTCCCCAATTTTTTTTTTCCAAATGAAACATAAAAATTAAAAATAAACAAACTCACCACTTGAAATAAGATTTTCAATGGCCGTGAACATTAATAGAGAACTATCACTCCTTAATAGTTTGAACACATTCAGCAAAGAGATTATGGCCTTTCTCCAATAGACAACAATGACCTTAAGTTGTGACTTTCCCCAGTCCATAAGATCATGAAGCCATTTGAAATCCATGAAATTCTCTAATGCTACTTTAGAATCTCCAAACGGTCTAGCAAATGATGGACCAAGTCTTCCAAATAGAACAGGGAGGATCTCAAGCACACGCACACAAGTCATCTGAAAAAAGGCAAATAAAAAATCAACTATGCTGCTAAATGAACTGAGCTATGATGCATCTGACAGAATTTTAATGCTGAATCATCTTTTATTAACTTACACAAGAACCACCAGCATCTCTTCTAATATTTAATATTAGCAAAGAACTAGCCAGAAATACATGTGCAAAGGCAAATATACAAACAGATGGAGAGGCATGAATGTACGTACAAAAGCACTCAAGATCAACCCTGTAATTAATATGGACAATGTCATACATGAAAATTTGTAGGACCCAATAAAGTTAGTCCAGAAAGAAGTAACTGGCATCAGATGATGCCCATAGCAGTAATTAAATGTCACATGCACTTCCATAATATAATCAATAATTCATGCAAGAAAGAAACAGTACCGCAATAAAGATCCTAGGATGATACCTGACAAATACTGTAATCAATAAATGCCTTCCCTTCTACCAAGCATTTGCATAAGGTTGGCCATGCCATTTCTGACAATGAGGAACAGAAATTTTCCCTCAATTCTAGGTCAACACTTGAGTAATTTCCACCCTTATTTGCAGGCAAAACTTCAAATAATGGCTGCTTAAGAAATCCACCCTGAGAAGAGTACTTCATGACATTTGAGACATTGGATGAATTCTCAGATAAATCTGAATTAGGCAAGTCCTCGTCTTTAAGTAACTTGCATAGAACAAAGAAAAAGTGATGCAAAGTCTGAAACTTTAATAGAACGGAATCTAGCTGGACCTGGAGAATGCAAGCAAAAAACATTAGAACACAGTTTATATATATGCATATATGTAAAGAGAAAAATATCAGTAGAAGTTCATCTTCTCATAATAAAGAAAATGTCAGTAAATAACTAATATGCTGTAATTGTACAGTAGCAGAACATGTAGGACATTGCAAAAAAAGCCCTTGTCCAGAAAATGATCCTTTAATAAAGAACACAATATGCTGAGAACATAACCAGTCTCCATGTCAACAATATTAAATAAACAAGAAAGAAAATGTAGCTAAATGCTGACTGTGCTTGTTTTAGGGCCTATTGCAAAGAGATTAACGCTTACAAGTTTCAAGGCATGCCTCACACCCAAATAAACAGCAGATAGAGAAAAAACGTTGGTGCAAAGAAACTTCAAACTACAACCAAGACCCCGCATATTTGAAACTTGTTCCAAGATACACTTGCCAAATTGTCTCACATTCTGCAGCAGCAAAAATAAGAAAGATAATAAATGAAGTTTATGCCCAAAATACTGGAAGGTCAACCGCAGCAGGAAGTTTCTTATTTAGGCAGGGAAAAGAAAAACAAAGAAAAGAGTATCACTATTTCAATCACTCAACCTATATCATAAACGTAATATAAGTTGATTTACAAGATATAGACTACAATTAGACATACATCATTAGGGTCCACAAGAGAGAGGATCAAGCTTCCCCCATCCTTGGTTCCCAGTCCACTGCTTGAGAAGTTCCCCTTGCCCCCATTCGAATCAAAAAATGTGCAGTTAACCTGAAAAAAAATCCATTATTACAGACCCTTATTTAACTTGAAATGTGGATTTCACAATAGAGATAACGACTTTAAAACATATAACAGACATTGCCATAAAGTAAAAGATGTAGAGAAAAGTAGACATGCTAAGAACCTGTTGAACGTCTTTATTAAAGGAAGACACATGGTTGACAATCTCATTGAGTTTTTAGATTCCTTCTCTCCATCATCAGAACCAGTTGGTACCTTCCATCCAAATGTACTCGAGATTTCTGCAGCAGATGATGAAAGCCAACCTCTAATATCAAGAGCCAATTCTGCACTATTCTCAGGTTCTACCAGAGGGAAACGAGATCGAGCCCATAATACAGCCTTGGAAAATGATATTGGGAGAACTGGAGGATCAATATCAATAAGAACATCAATCCACAACATGGGAATGCACATCCACTCTCTACACTCCCGAGAAGTAATTAGACTCTGAGCACTAAATTCACTCCAACAACTAGTATCTTTCTCTTCAACATCCTTAGTAAACAGAAGCTCATTATCTTCTTCTTCATCATCTAACTCAATAGAAGTGTTTTTCGAAATACTGGTAGCAGTGCTGCAATTCAGCATTGAAGTTATTAAGGCAGCAGCATCAGACACCAGAATGGTTTGTATGAGATCAAAGGCAGGCTGGCGCAGAGAACTGTGGAGTGAAGAATCCTTCAAGGAAGAAACAAGCGAAGGACCCCTGTCCACCATGATTGCTCACATATCAGTCCTATAAATCTGTTTCATTGCAAACTCCCTTGAACATAATGAAACAAAAGAAGTTGTGCAAGTATACATATATATATATATGTATATGCATATATATGTGACTGCAGAGACAAGTTAACTCAGTCATATAGGTCAGTACAGTATTCCTTTAACTAGATTACGAAAATGCCCTAAGTATCAAGCCTACAAGCTTCACAGAAAGAACTTTTTCCTTAAAAGAGAGGGTATTTAGTTTCAAAAACACAAACACTAAGAAAAAGTACTCTCTACCTATTGCCTCTAGGAAAATTGAATTGCCTCTTATTTATCCCTGGCCAACAATAAATGAGGTCAAACTTTTAAAATCGTAATGCGTCAGCTAATACAAAAGCCATTCTCTTCCACCAATATCCACATTCATCTGATACCGTCTTGGCCCTCAAAATCTTTTCTCTTACAACTCAGCTTGGAAAAAACTAAAACAACATACTTAAATAAAGGCATTTCATCCATCTCCAAATCCTAGATTCCATAAAAAGGTTGAAAATAAACGGGGTAAAAATATTCAATAAGACATACCACATATGTGCACACTCAAAAGGAGGGAATGGTGGATTCATCTTGTAACCTCGTTGTATGATAAGAAAAGCAATCTGAAAGTACAATCTTGTAATAAGTAGCAAAAAGATTGAGCCATGACAACAAAACAAAGGGAGAATAATATAGCATAAAGCATTGCCATTCCCCATATTCTAGAATATAGAAAGAACCTTGCATGCAGTTTTTCTTGTTAAAACACTGAAGTTACTGCTCACAGGAACTTGATGGAGAAGAAAATAAAGGAAACTCCTGCGTTGCTTTTCATGTTCACCATCTTGCAAAGCTTCAAGTGACTAAAATAAATGTTACTACACATCAGCAACTTTATAACAACTACATATGCTGCAAAGTTAGTATCAAAAGAAAAGTAAGAAGACAAATGCCTGCAAAAATGGCTGGAAAAGATCAAAAATATCTTTATGTATCTTCTCATTTCTAGTGTGAAAACATTGCCCCAACAATGTGTTGCGCATCACACTTGGAGATAATGTAGACCTCAGCCAAAGCTTACAACCTTAAGAAAGTGTAAAAACAAAAAGAAGAAAATGAGTTTGACAGGGGGCAGTGTCAACAGCAAAGACAAGAAAAATGGTCAATCCAACATTGAGCACAGATTAACCTAGATTACATGAAGAGGAAAAAGAACAAAAAGCTCATACCAAGCATTTTGAAGAGTTCTCTTAAGCAGTTAACAGCATGGGAAAATTCATGTGAATCACCACTGATGTGGTTGAGCACCATATCAAAAAAGATGGGATAGCGCTCTAGTATTCCCTCCTCAAAGGCTGGAGGTTCCAAGAACTCAAGCCTTCATTTCCACAAAAAGAAACATAACATTACAGAGTATGGAGACAAAAGAAACAGTTATAGAAGATTAAGAATTTAACCCTACTTCCTTACAATGATGTAATTCCAAGCCATATAGGTATTCGGTCCAGCTGTGTCCTTGGCCTTGAAGTCTCTAAAGTTGAAGGCAATACTTCATTCTCCAAAAAGCCAATGAATTTTTTAAGCAAAGTTTGCAAAGGTTCCAAGTCAGTTGCTCTCCTACATTCAAACAGAATAAAATTAAGGAAATAAAATGATATAAACCTTGGTTCAATATATTTTTGCAGCAATGATGTAGATATCAGCATTAACAAGAATTCATAAATAGAGTATATGCATGAGAGGGAGAAAACTCGCAATGATGTGCAGAACACTACAGATTGAACCATGTGCAATAAAAAGATAAAATTTTTTAATTTTTTAATGGTTTTTTAAACATCCAGGACAATAATTCCACATGAGCATAAGATCAAAACAGGAAACAGGAGGGAGAAATCAACATACTAGCACTGGGCGGTAAAAAGCAACAGTACCTCAATTTTCCCATAGATCTAGCTAATCGATGACCAACAGTCCTCACTCTTCTATTGAAAAAAAGCAATGCATAAACACCCTGAAAATCATGCTTACTTGATGAGGTGGAGAGCAAAATGAAAAAATTTAAGCCAGAAAGAAGGTGCACAAACAACTTGCCAGTGAAATACCGGAAACTGTTGCCCAGCCAAAGCCAGTTCATGCATATTATCAACTGCCACAATGAATCTTTCAAATTCTATAAACAGGGACTGATCATCTAATAGGACAGGAAACATCAAAACCTGCGATCAAATAGACAGTAAACAAAGAGCAAGGAGCAGTCAGCAGGGCAAAACAAATAAAAACTAATTTATATCTGTTAGCTATCAAATCAGTTATAAGCCATCACAACAAGATGAGATCATTAACTATTAGAAACTTTGATCAACTTTGATCATTGCAAGCAACTGAGCAAGCTTGATCCAAACCAACCTGAACTCCCATGTGTACGGCTTTCTTTACTTGGGAGCTTAAAAAATAAAATAAAATAAAAGTTCATCCAGAAATTATGTTGCATATCCAACTATTTAAATTATTTATGGAAAAAATGAGTCTAGTTCAGGATAGAAACCTATTAAGAAACAATACCAAAGAAAGCCCTAAAACAACACAACCATTTCCAGAGTGTTAGAAACTTAGACCTTAATATGATCAATAAATCATCAGCACTGCGTAACAAGGAAAAAAGCCCAATGCTCATTGCCCAAAACAAAATAGTGAGATCTTGTTAAATGAACCCTTCTTAAAGGAGCAAAGACATTCCACATAACCCAAAACAAATTGATTTTCATGGGAGAAATCACAAGGAACCATCACCAAACCATTTTTTTAACTGGAGGGGAGAAAGGGGGTAGGGAATCAGACAAACTTAATCATCCAGTGGGGACTAGAAAAATTAACTGACCAGTTGCTTATATTCCACTTGTAATATTTAAAGCATAAACCCAAAGTAAAAAGGAAAAAGAAACCAAATAACAGCCCCACCTCAGAAAACCAGTATGATGTCAAATTGTCACACGTAAGTACCAAAAAGTAATACATGAAAGTAAAAAGTGAGAAGATCAGTAATTATACCTCATACATGAGGTTGACAACCTCAGCATTATCACATAGAGGATCATACTCCTGCCGCACCAATCTTTCATTCATCTCTCTCAAATGTTGAGTCACCCTTTCCTCATCAAGGCTCCGCAACACCTCAAGAAGGGGACCTACGGAACACAACTCATATTCCATGCTGAACATCTCTTTGGCATGATGATGCTGAGAAACGCATTGGATACAATGTCGCATTTCCTCAGAGATCCTCTTCCATAGAAGCCTGAGAGGAGAATCATCGCGGTCATCTTTGAAATAATTGTAGAAAGTTTCCAATAGAGGACCCATTATGTCCCAAGTGCCACACCAGATATGATTTTCCTTTGGCAAACTTATCAACATACTGAATGCATCTCCAAACCTGATACATCAAAAGGCAAAACAAATTAAATATATTTATGATTAATATGAGACTAACAAACTACAAAGCAATTTCCTCCACAAATGAGTTAAAAATTTACACAAATGAAATAAAAAATCAACTAATCATTAAGGAAAAAAATTACATAAATGCAGTCCGAATACAAAATCACCAATAAATGATTAAAAAATTTAAGTCTTAATTCTTCAAAAAAAATGTTTGATTTTGCATCCAATCACACATCTTTAATTCTAGAAATTCTCTAAAGATTTTAACAATCAGAAAATATTAGATTTAAAACTTAAAATAAACATTTTTTTTATTTTTTCCTGTTTACAAGACTTGACTTTTAGCTAGTGTATTTCAGATGAACAAGTGAATTGCATTTTCAAAGCTCTTCTCAATACTAAACTGTCAGTTCAGCAGAAAGAAACAAGGAAAAAAATAGAAATTTTAAAATCAACTTATAATTTCATTGCATATGCATTTTACTAATTTCTTCATTTCAATATATAAGCAGGAAAAAAGTAAAAGAAAAATAAATAAATCTGTTGAACCAATTGCACGAGAAAATACGATCATACATTTTCTTTGATTTCTTTTCGGAAAGGCATAAATACTATAGTCAGGGAAACAGAAAGAGAGGAAAAGAAAGAAAAACGAAACCATTCTTCTTTGTGCTTGTGAAGGCGACGTCGTATAGAAGGATCAGTATCGTCACTTTCTTCTTCTTCTTCTTCTTCGATGCCTCTCCATCGATCCAACAACTCTCTTCTTGAAAAAAACTTTTTCGTCATTTTCAAACTAATTTTTCTTACGATCGAAAAAAATAAAATAAAATAAACAAAGGTTTATCGCAGGCTATTATTTATTTTTATTATTATTAACTCCGGCATTGAAGAGCTGCAAAATAATGCAAGAAGTTTAGGGTTTCTCCAATTGTAACTCTAAAACAGAAAGGGAAACGTTGGTAGTATTCATAAGCAGATATAAAACGACGCCGTGTAGTAGGACTACTTTCGCGCCTCTTGGGGATTGTCCAATAAAATGCAGTACGATTTTATTTAGTTAAAGTTAAACTCACCACTCATGTGGTTTTTATGTCTTTTTACCTATCCTTAATTACATGGTTCCGCTTTTACGGCTAAATGAAAAAAAATATATTTTCTTCTTACCAGGGAAAAAAAATCATATCTATTATTCAAAAATAGTGAAAGTTGAAAGTTGCGTATAAATCACAAATTAATTCGTATTGATAAAAATAATTTATACTTGATGAATTGTAATTCATCCTGATTTAATAACAACGATTTTGATTTAAAATTAAAATAAGGTCGGAGGTAAGTCAGAATTTTTTTAAAGTTTAGGTCGATGAATTAGGATATTTGTCTGAATCATATTGAGGATATATATATTTTATTATTTATTTAATTTTATTTAAATATTAATAAAAATATTATTAATATTTTAATAAAATATTATATTATATATAATAAAAATATAATTTATTTTAAAAATATATTTATGAATATAATAATAAATTAAAATCATTTGATTTTTAAATCAATTGGCAAAATATTAGAATTGAAGTTTAAAGATTGTGTATTTAAAATAGTTTATATTCAGCCAAATAAATATAAACATAAAAAATTTAAGATTAAGAACTTAAAAAATTGATGAAATTTTTCATTACTTTATCAATAATGTAAATCTATAGTTAATATTTAATAATTTTAAATTAAAAAAGAATAAATAAAAATTAATTAAAACAATAAAAATAGTTAAACAAATATTAATCATAAATTTAATGAAAAATACACTTATAACCTTAGATAAAATAGTGTAAACTTTCACTATTTTTTTAATTAATAAAGAGGAGCATTTTCCTTTACTATTTGCTTTGATTATTTTTATATACAAAATAACAAAACAAACATAAAAATAAATTAATTGAAGGCAATGAACATATAGTAAAAGAAAAAAATAAAAAAAAGCAAAGCATTAACAAATATAACCTAAATTACTATTATAATCTATTAATATTCATTGTTGATTTTATAATTTAATTTTTATTGAATTTATAACACCAACTCAGTTAATTATGCTAAAATAATAAGATATGATCATTTTCACTACTTAAAAATTAGTGAAAATTTTCACTATTTTATTCAAAATAATATTTGATATCATTTTCAAGATTATCGTAATGATTTAATTACTATAATGTTAAATCACTATAATAAGATCACTAAAATGATTTAATCACGAATGATTTTAAATTACTATATTTGATACAATATTATAAATCACTGATATTTTTAAATCATTATATTTGTTATTATATAAATAAATAAATCATATAGTATAAAATATCCAAATTAATCTTGACATATTTAATACTTATTGAATCAACAATTTATAAAATAATTAAATATTATTTTATAGAAAACTATAATGTATAAATCAAATTTGATAAAAATAATTTTTTTAAAAATTGTTAAATAAATTCATTATTTTTTAATCAATATAAATTTATAACATAAAATATTTTTTAGAAAAAATAATTAAAAATTAATTTTAAAAAAATTTTAGTGGCCAACTTTTTAAGATATTGTTAACTATATTTTTTGTGAGAATAAATTAATCAAAAATAATATTAAAAATTACTTTTTTTATGATAATAAAAAACTTTCTCGTCCTTTAAGTTGCAGATTAGATTACTCGTCCAAAAAAAATCTTTTTAATCTAATAATTTAAAATCATTGTCACATAAAATTTTTAAATTATTATAAAATAAAATAATATCATTACTTAAAGTAAATTACCGAAATGTTTAGATAAATCACCCTTTCCAAACTATTTTTGAACGTGATAAAAGCACTTCAATTAAATCACCTTACTGCTACCCTTTCACTTTAACTACTTAAAAAGCAGCAAAAAAGTGAACTTTATCTAAGGTGATAAGATTGCTTCTAAAGCACGAACCACCCTTCATTGACTAAATAAAAAGCAAAAAATCATTTTACCTAGTTTTTCTCCATTTTAAAAACTAGTAGGTGTAGTTATCTCATATTTCTCTCTTTTATAGCATATTTTTCTCTTTTACATTTCAAGATAACTATTTAATATTTTTTTTCTTTTTTTAGTATTTTATTATTTATCTTAATTATCAATTTTTTTACATTTTTCATCCACATAGTGAGTGTGTGAGTGTGCATAGGACTGGTATATTAAATAATTTTTGGAAAATTAAGAATTAGTTAAAAATCATTTTTTATTTCATATTTTACATGTAATAAAACACTTAATTTTATTTTTGTTTCTATAGTCATTTATTTTATTTTTGAATCAATTTATATTATTGTTAAAACCCCTAATTGAGTTGGTGCCACTAAATTCAATTTAGTAAATTACATAAATTTTGATTATAAAATCTACAATATAAATTAATCAGATCATATTAATAATTTATTTCTTTAAAAAAATGAAAAAACGATTTTACGTGCTTTTTCTCCATTTTAAAAATCAGTAGATGTAGTTGTTTAAGTTTTTCTTTCTTTTACAATTTAAAATAACAATGTAATATTTTTTTTCTTTTTTATTATTTTACTATTTATCCTAATTATCATTTTTTTTTAACCCACATTGCGGGTGTGCATAAGGCTAATACATCAAATAGGTTTTGGAAAATTAAGAATTATGTAAAATATTATTTTTATTTCGTAGTTTACATGTAATAAAATACATAATTTTTTTTTGTTTTTCTAATCATTTATTTTATTTTTTAATTAAATGGTATAAATTTAAAATTTGTATGCATTAGTTTTAATTTATATTTATATCAAAAGCTTAAGATGTAAAACGTAACTACTAAAAATAAAAATAAACAGGTTCATTTGGTTTCCAAAGGATTAAGATTTTATGTTAGTATATAATAAGAAACTAACAAAATGGTTGCCAACCAAATTTATATATACTAGAAAAAATACACGTGCGGTACCGCGGATAAAATTTTTGTTTTACTATCTTTATTCATCATATATTCTTTTACAAAATTGATTTAATTAAAAAATGATGAAAGATAAAAAATAAACAGGAATGATACATGGATACTTTAATTAGTCTCATTTTTTTATAAATTTATCCAAATAAAATAAATAAATAAATAAAAGAAATAAAAAGGAAAATTTTAAAAATAAAAAAAAAGCTCATAAAGGACGTCACATTGGCACCTGATATTAAATATAAAATGTTAATTTATTAAATTAAGGTAAAAAATAACTTTATTAATATAATATATGTATGTATAAAATTAAAAAAATAATAAAATATAAATTTTTATATGTACCTCAAAATAGTTCAAGACAGCATCTAAATTATGCTTTTGACCTGAGCTTGTCTCTTTTTAAAAAAACTCAACCAGTCTCAAATAATATTATTTATGAACAAAATGGCCAAATATTTACTTCATCTCAAGACAAAATATTATAAAAATGTATAAATATTTAAAAGAAAAAAGAAAAAGTAAATAGAAAATTGCTTAAAAAAAAGAAAAAAAGAGATTAAAAGAATGAAAATAACTTTAACATATGAAATACATTTGGTATCGATGAGACAAAAAAGAATTTAAAATCTTAAAAAATATTTTATTACGTATAAAAATGAAAAAATAATAGAAAAAAAAGTAAACATGTGACATACCTTTAGTATCAAATGGATCCCATAAAAAGTAAATTTAAAATCTTAAAAAATGTAAAAATAAAAAAATAAAAAAAAGTTTGGTATAAAGTGAGTCTCACTTAGAAAATAAAATTTATAAAAGAAATATTTATTAAATATAAAAATTGACAAAAAAAAAGCAAAAAAAAAAAAAAGGTAACACTTGGCTTAAATTTTAATCATGTATTGTTCATCCGTATATGAGCAAAATTTAAGCAATGGATTTAATCAAGATAAAATATGTTATATCATTAACCTTGCTTATGACTAACCTATTTAGAGGCTGCATTATTTGTCAAGCTCGCAAGTTAGGCTCATCGCGAGTGAGTCTTTGATAAGGATTTTAAGGTTTAAGTCCGGTTCAACTTATATTATTATTTTATTAATAAAAATTTATATTTAAATTTAATTTTAAAATATTTCTTAAAGTATTAAAATATTAATAGAATTTTGAATGGTGATTAGGCCTAAATGAATTAGTTTGATTGAACTTTGGATAAAACTCTAAAGGTGCCAATCGAGACTAATTCAGTTCATAAACACCTTTACTTTATGATTACATGGAGTGAAAAAAGACGTAACGCTATATTAGCAAAATCTCCTTAATACACAATGAAGATCTAATTAAACTAAGGGCTAGTTAAGCATTATTGTCGTTGTTAGAAAAAGTTTGGTTTGAAAAAATTGTAATTAAAATTTTTAAATATTTGATATTATTGTGAAAAAGTTTTGTAAGTAATTGATATGTTTAAAAAGATACGTATAAAATAATAAAACATTAAAAACATGTGGATAATATAGTAATTTTTATTCCTAACACACATTTTCTTCTCAAAACCACCTCTCGAGGAGCTTTGGGTTCATAGACCAGGTTTTTAAATTGAAAACCATATTTTTTGTTATTTAGCATTGAGATTGGTCAAAAGCAACTTTTGAACATGAAAGTTACTTTCAATAATAATGTTAAACTAACCTTTAACTTGTGATCTTTTTAAGTATAATTTTAAATATATATATATATATAAATTAATAGAATGTTTCAAAAATTTTTGGTTGAGATGCATAAGAAATTGCTCTCACTACAAGAAAGCATGGCATTAGCAATGAATTAACTATTTTTAAAGATCTTTCAAATTTTAGATCCAACATATTTATCTTCATATTGTTATAAGATTTCTAATTCTTCATAAAGATTAATTAAATGTATAAAATAGATTTGTCCAAAGATTTGACC